TCCGCTACATATGTGACTAAAAGTATCAGAATTTCGATCAATAATATAAATACTTTGTAGGGTCTATGGTGATTACAAATAGAATGATAAAGTTATTATAACCTCTATAGTAGGGAGGATCATATAAAAATATTAAGTCTGACTGTTTGGGAAATTTTGCGATTGTATTAAATGTATGCTTTGTGCAAGAATGTATAAGGTTTCTACGATAATCGAATTTTCCTTTGTGATTTCGGAAAAAGTTGTTATATTCTTGCAATTCTAGAGACTTAAATTCGTCGATTTAAAAATGCCACACCTTGCATACTAATTATTCCCACTGACATTACAGATCAAATACAGCTCCATCTGTTTTAGTACAGATATTTGTCATTGCCATGACAGTAACATTGCACTATAGATTCGAATTAGTAAGCATAAGTTAGCCTAGCTATCGATATTCTGTATATTAACGCAGATTTGAAATTAATATCCTTTGATATACGTTTTAATAATTGAAAATATTTAAAAGTATATTCAAGTTTCAATTTCCGACAAAAACTGATTATCTACAATGAATTTCCATTGTTGGTGTTTTTGTTTTTAATAAAATAACGTTTATTTATTAGTAGAGAAAAAAATGACAATATTTACTAATGGGTTATGCAGGAAAACCTTATGGCTTTGGAGCCACAAATCCTTATTATTTCCTTTGACTTGTGTCAAACTCTTTTCGATACCTTGTTTTTACCTGCGTTAGCCACTGGTAAACATTCTTCCATCCGTCTTTCTTCACTAATAAACAGAAGTTGTTTTTATAAAACAACAACAGTTGTATGAAACTTGACCATTTTTAAACAACAAAATAACCGCGGTTTCCCAACGTTTAAATGCCAAAACTTTTCCATAATTCATTGCCGATAATTTGACGACCTTAAAAATACCGTAATAATAGAAATACGAAAACTGTGATATAACTTCTAATTTCTACGTTATTCAAAATATTTTCACCCCCCGAATGCAGTTATACCGATTCATTGCAATCATTGTTAGTTTTTATTGCGTTTCCGTAACTTACATCGCCATGTACGTATATAAACAATCTATATATATAAATGTAAGTTGTGTTAGTTACTACGCTTATAACTCAAGAACCGCTGATCTGATTTAAACGATTCATACAAATTCTGAATTGTCTCTTTTCCGAAAAGGATAATATTCAAAAAAATCGCGTAAAAATGTGATATATTAACATTTTTATTTTGACTTCTGAAATGTACAATCGTAATGTTTTATTTTGTATGTTTTTTTCTATTTTGACTTACTTTTTTCGAATGTACATTTGTAGTGTTTTTTATAATATTTTTTTTTCTTTTTGATTCGAATATTAATACCAATTTATTTTGACTCGATTTCTTGAGAACTGAAATAGAAGCCGGGTTACATTGAAGTGTAGTACCAAATTATGTGGTGGCGAAACGAAATAGATGTTATCGAAATAATTTAACGCGGTCACACCAAATTTAGGTCAAAATTTCTAAAAATCTTGAAAAAAGAGATCTCATTGCAAAAATTCTCAAATCGGGGAAAAATTACATAAGGTATAACTAAAGAACGGCTTGACAATTCATACAATTTTGGAATGGTATCCAATAAAAATATTAATAAAAAATTTCTTTTTGGTGTGATTTTTTTCAATTTGACATACTATATTGAAGTGAACATTTTTTATTGCCTTGAAATCTGAATGAATAATATTTAAAATAAAATGAGTGACCTACGTGGACCTACATCTTTCATATGGCAATAATCCGCCCAATGAGAACTCAAAATGCAATTCATTGGAACTGCAGTCAGTCAAATACCGAATATAAAGGGTGCAAAATGGTAGAGCGAATTGGACATTTAGGAAAAAAGACAGAAATTCTTCCTAAACTTTCAAGATGTCTTAAATCGCTTTTGCAGGTCATGATATATGACCCCCGGATAAGGGTACAACCCTATTTCAAGTATTGTTTACATTTTAACCACATTTTTCTCACACTCATTTTAATTTGATAAGAAACCATCCTCGCAAAGTATGATCATGTTTTGGTATAACCGTCATATAATTTAAGCCATGTTCGGGGTCTTCGACATTTTTTTCTTCTTTAGGCCTTTATTTGGCATCTTTGTTTCTAAGGGTGTAAAAAACCTCTTCTCATAATATTTTCAATTTTCGGAGTAGAGTCCATCTTGGTCTTGACCACATTCATCAATTGATTTGGCTAAAAAATTGTATTTAGGCAACTCTGGGGTAGAGAATCGTCCCTCAGATAATTGTCCACATAGGCATTTATTCGAGTATAGTTCTCACATTAGTGTACCCACAAATCCGATTTCCTAACCAATGTTTGGTCAGAAAAGAAAATTTGATATACTATTGAATTTGAAACTCCCAAGAGAATATTGGTTGGGAACGTAGATGTGGGATTAACATCTACATGCCATAAACTCCGAAATATCAAATTGTGGCAGAAACATGAAAAAATCACGAATATTAATTTTTTTGTTCGTTATTGAATTATACTATGATGAAAAATATGGACTTTATGGGTTCTCCAACTCACAATTTAAATGACAAAAATAAATTAATTAATATATCACGGTAATGGGTGTAAAAAAGCAATTATCTTTGACTATTTTGAAATCATTCCGCCCTCAATTATGAGGTGGACAAAACTAAATACCACGCAGCACGGTATTCTTAACATTGGAAATTCAATACCAAAAATTTAGCTGAGTTTTCACATGGGGCTATTATAGAAGTTCTATATCATACTGGTTTTTAACACTCAATTATAGCCTTAGGCTGAAAAATAAGATCAGGCTATTCAAAATATCTAAAACCGACGGTAGATTATTATCTATTATAATTTTTCCCATGAATGTTTATTTCTATTTAGAAATTACTATGGAGTTATTTTACTTATAATAAAAATTGTGCCGCTTTCATAATTCTATAATGCTTAAAAAATATGCATTAAAGACTAAAAGTAGGGGCCGGCAACGCGGGCCGGGCCAGCTAGTACTTGATAATAATGAAATTATTGAAAACTGAAAAGAAAAGAGTGAATTTCTGTGCTTAATTGATTGTTAAAAATTCTTAAAAATGCTGTAGAGTCGATGGTTTCCGGTTTCCTGCTAAAGCGGTTGTCAATGTGTTAAATACCAAATTATAAAAGATTTGCTAAAAATGTGGCTTAAAACACCAAAATAGCAAATATTCGGAATACATAATGAGCTTCTGTCACAGAAGATAGAACCCATTACAAACTCTACATATCGATTTTTATAGGATTCCCTGAAAAATGTAGCCAAAATCACATAAGCTGCAGTAACTGTTCCGAACTTTATATACGAAATGTGAAACAGTTCCGGTAAATAACGTCGCAAATATCATCAAAATACCGAATATGGGGAGGAACCGTTATATAGGGAATATATGATATCGTGGATCTATACAGACAAGGGGGTAATGTACTGACAAGGAACTTCTTTTGTGGATTTTAAGACAATTCCATTGAAAAATTAGGCTGAAATCAACAAAATACGGAATACGGCGGTACCGTTATATGAAAGCTATACGATATCTTGGAGTTATATTGACAATTCTCCTCTAAGGGATAAAGTACTCAAAAAAACTTCTGTGAGTATTTTCAGACAATTCCATTGAAAAATGTGGCTAAAATCATCAAAATACCGAATATCGGGGGTATCGTTATATGGGGGCTATACGTTATCGTGGACCTATATAAATATTTCTCTTCCAGGGGGTAGAGTGTTTCGAAAAAACTTCTAGTATGCATTTTTAGACAATTCCATTGAAAAATGTAGCTAAAATCATCAAAATACCGAATATAAGGAAGTACCGTTATATGGGGATATACGTTATTGTGGACCTATATAGACAATTTACCCCCAGGAAGTTCTTAGAAAGAACTTCTAGTATAGATTTCATTGAAAAATTTGGCTACAAACATTAAAATACGAAATATGGGGATGTACCCTTATATTGGGGATATACGATATGGTGGACCGATATAGCCCATCTTCAAACTTGACCTGCCTGAAGACAGAAGACTGACCTGAGCAAAATTTTAGCTTCCTATCTATTTTCTTTTTGACTCTAGCGTGAATACCACAGACGGACAGGGTAGAGGGTATAAAAATTAGTTACTAAATGAGGCTGTAAGTAAGCACCGGATTTTAAACAATTCTGTTGGATAAACAATGTTCTGATTTCTAAACAATTCGGTTTGAAAATGTAGCTAAATTGTCCAAATACCGAATATCGGGATATATTGTCGTATGGGGGCTATAAAAAAACGTGGAGCTGCATAGACAATGTTCTGCCATAGGAGGTACAGCCCGTCACAAACTCTACGTACCGAATTTTAAAAAAATCTCTTAGAAAATGTGATCCTAATCGTCAAAAAACCGAATACCTGGATGCTGTTATATTACGAACTTAACCTGCCTTCTGACAAAATATACATGTGTGAAAAAATTAAACCTTCTGTCGCAATTCGTTAGTGATTGCAACAAACAGACATCCATCGGTAAATCGGCTTAGAATTTTACGCTGATGTAGAATATATATGCTCTGTTGGTTCTAACATGAGTATTTCGAAGAGTTGCAAAGGGAATGACAAAGTTATGTATGTTTGGTGGAGGGCATTTATTTCCTTTCGACATTCATTAACAGGCCCTTAAAGTATTCAACATTATTATAAATAAATTTTTTCTTCTTCTTTAAAGTATCTAAATAAGTATCTGTTTCAGGTCGATTTGTGTGTCATTGCAAGAGAGTTGTGTAAATGTAAATTCCCAGTTGTGTAAATGTGATCTCTCATGGAATGTTTAATGCTATAGTGCTCTAACATTTTGATCTGTATTAAAGGTTTTTGGAACCGTTTGGAATCATAAATAATGACAATTACACATGGATTTCATCTATAACTAATATTAAAACAATAGTCTTATAAATAATAGGGCGAGGGTACATATGTATTTTGTTACAAATACCTTTACAGGGGATATACTTTTAATTTTTATCAATTTATTTTTATGTAAAGAGCTCACTGGATGACCACATTTTTTAAGAATATCTAGATTTAATATCGACTGAACTATTCAAATGGCATCGATACTATTTAGCACTTCGGATTCACAGACATCTTAACCCCCTTCATGTGATACACCTATAATCTCCGTAATATCTCTTCGATGGGTTTGCCTTTAGTTTCAGGAACACAAATTCCAATGAATATAGCTCCAATAAAACTACACGTTGAAAAAAAGAACATAACTCCATGCATGCCGATCAATTCGGAAAAGAGTCCCATGTACTGAAATTATATAGTAAGTAGAAAATTATTTTCGTTTCCAATTTAAGATTTTTACTTAGGAATATTAAATGAAAGAACATTCATGAACATTCAAGTTCTTTTTCTTAGTCTTACTCTTCTTGCCGCCACAATATATTGAATTTATCACACAAATAGTGTAAGTAAATAAATACGTTAGCAATGGATGTATACTTACTTTTAAAAGAAAGAATGAGTAAAGCCAAAGACATAGCATACAAATCATACATCCCAGATTACGAATCTTGGGCGGCATTATTTCAGCTACCACAAGGAAGGGAAGTGTTATAACACCCCAGCATCCAATGAAAATGATGAATGAGAAGGAAGCCACGGGTATCCAAGATCCAGAAAGGGGATCACCGAAACACATGAATAAGCCCAGGCATAAAAGGCCAGTTCCAGTCCCAATTACGGATATTATGAGCAAACTCTGGAAATTTTCAAAAAAAAAAAAAAGAATATCAGATTTTTGGCCTATTTTTGTATGACGAATGAGAAAGATTTCAATTGAAAGGAAACTTTTCCTCTTTCGCATTAACTTTTATATCGGCACAAAAAAAAACAGGATCAATTTAGTTTGAAGGTACATTTTTCAATAAAATAGTGATATTCATAGTTAGAATGTAAAAAAAAATCGTTTTAAATAATTATCGCACATCGCAAAGTCCTTTTCACTTACTTTTCTTCCGGCTCTTTCTACTAAAAGCGTTGATGCATAGGTACCCACAAGTTGTATGACTCCCACTATAATCGCTGATTGGTTCGGCGGCAAAGTGGATCCGGAGTTTTTGAAAATGGTGGCCGTGTAGTTGAGCATAACGAAACATCCGCAGAGTTGATTGACAGCCATTAAACCCATGCCGATACAAAGAGCCTTTCTTGCCTTCGGTTCGGCTGAAATAAAATAAATATGTTGTATTTAATAAATGATTGGGCAAAATTTTCCCAAAAATAAAAAATAAATAGATTATTTTGTTGCGCCGATATAAACAGAGACCTAAAACGCCAAATTACAAATAATATAGTTTGAAGTGCGTCTAAACCTGTTTTTGTACAAAAAAAAAAATATAATTTGCCCCGAATCGTTCGTTTTCAAAGGTACCCGTTTCACGTTTTACGTTTTTATCTGAAAAGCTCTTGTCCATTTCCGAACAACTTTGACATGCCAGTATTTCCATGGCGATTATTTTATTTGACAGAAAATTGGCAGAAGAAAATTGGTGCTAAGTACGATGGTGCTGAGTTCTGTTGGAATGTCCAAAATGCGGCCAAAATGTTTGGGTGTCCAAAGCTGTAATACACCCTCCAGAACATTTTCGCGATAATATTCGGCATTTATTCTGATGCCACGGCCGATTAATACTAGCGGAGAGCGACCATCGGCTGTTATGGCGGCCCACACCATCAAGATGGCCGGCGCTTGAATTCTGGTGGCCAACCGAAGGTGCACACTTTCAGCTGACCTCTTTAAAAACACGATCATTTTGTTTGTTTACAAACTGCTGAACAACGAATGTTTTCTCATCAGAGAAAACCAAAATTGGCCATTCACCACTTTCGGCGAAACGAAGAAACCTTTTTTCTGGAAAATTATCATCTAAATGCTTTTGCACGCTTGTAAACAATATAATGAGCTGTCACTAGAATAATTTTAACAGCTGTCGGACGAGTGGCTTAGAAATGAAGTTTGTTGCAGTTTTTTTTATCTTACCCTGTATATTATTGATCAGCATAAAATTTAATGTCGATTTAACGATGTCAGTCTGTCTGTCTGTCTATCCGTCTGTGGAAATCACTCTAGCTTCCGAACGAATTAAAATTGTACTCAAATGTGTGTTTAGTCTGCTGGACTTTTGGTATTGAAAATGGGCCCCATATTTTGATATTGTATTTGAAACTCCTAATAACAAGTCCAGGGGTTCGTATAGCACTCATATAACGGTACCTGCCTATATTCGATATTTTTCTGATTTCAGTATATTTGTATATCTTCGTTCGATTTGCCTTTTATTGTGCATCAAACGTGTAATATCAACCCAAATAGTATGTAATTTTTCATATACGACCAAATTAAGCAGATTCAGATATAGCTATAGCTCACATATAAATTATTCATCCGATTTGATATTTTTGTCCTCCGCAGCCGTAATATGCACTCTGTTACAACGATATTTGGGAAAATATATCAAATACAGCTCAGAGCTACATTTGCTAAATTCTTGTCGAGATTGGTTCAGATTTGGATATAGCTCCCACAAATATCTTCGTCCGATTTACTTTTTATTATGCACCAAACGTGTAATATTAGCCCAAATGCGATGGAATTTGGCACTTACCACCAAATTAAGCATAGAAACAAGTATGTTAAATTTGGTGAAAATCGTTTCAGATATAGCCCCAATATTTAATACCCTCGGCCTTCGGTCGGTCTCAATATTTAATAACTTCCACTATGAGGTCAAGAGACCCTTTAAAAATAAAAGAAACGGGTTTTAATATTGCGTCTAGTCGATGTACCGGTTTCCTACTATAGTAGTTGTTAGTTATTGTGAGTTTCAAATACAAAATTAAACAAATGGCTTGGAAAAGTGGCTAAAACCACCAAATTACCAAATATTCGGAGGTACCGCCTTATGAGTGATACAAACTCTTCATACTAAATTTTAAACAATTTTGTTAGAAAATGTGCATAAAATCATAAAAATACCGAACCATAGGTGCTATAGAATAACGTGGAACTATATACATATACCACGTTCTGCCATAAGAGGTGGGAGCCGTTACAAACCGAAGTAAGTACAGCAAGTGTAGCTTAAATCGTCCAAATACCGAATATAGGGAGGTTACTGGGGGCTATAAGAAAACGTTTACCTTTACCTGACTGTCACAGAAGGTAGAACCAGAAGAATTCTGTTGTAAATGTGATCTTAATCGTCGAAATAGCGAATATCCCGAGATAAATTTATATGGGGGATGTACGAAAATGTGGAACGACATGACCCATTACGAACATGCCTACTGACAAAATTCATATGTGTGCAAAATGTTAGCCCTTTATCTCAATAGAGTGGTTACAACCGACTAACAGTCGGACATCACTAAATCGACTTAGAATTTTTAGCAGATCAAGAATATATTGTTACGTTCTTGGATTTTACTTAATCCCGTGTAGACGTTGTTTTATTTCCCAATACAGCTCGTACCAAATAAAACGCGGGTTCTTTCGGATTACGATTATTACAATGATTTTATTTGCACTTTACTTTACTCGGCGGTTTCAATTCGCGATCTCATTCACAACTGACTAACTGCCTTTCCATTTCTCCTATTTATATGAGCCTCGCCTGTCGCTACAGAAGTTTCTAGACGATCTGGTAACGCCTAGATTACGAACAATCTACCAATGCAACAAACACATACAAACTTACATTGAGTGAACAATAACAACAACACATACAAACTTACATTGAACAATAACAACAACACATATACAGGCGAGGGGGTAACAAAGAAAGAGGAATTAAGCGATCATCAATGATGACGTTTAACAAGAATTGTACGTCAGCAACAAAATAGACAATGAAAGAGGAAATGGAAGGATGTAGAAAAAATCTATACAGTAGTTGTTGTTGTGAAGTTATTCAAATAAACTGCGTAGTAGAAATTTACGTTACAATTCAAATTCTTAAATTAACGGAATTCATCTAAATTAACTTAAATCTAAAGTTATATTCGTAACAATATTTACTTTGTTGGATCTGACATGAGCATTTCGTGGAGGTACAAACGGAATGACAAAGTTAATATAGCGTCCATAGTATAGTGGAGGGTATAAAATATAAGGGGAAATTACATCTTTCTGACAGAAACAAAAATGCTTTTTCCTTCGTAAAATTTTATCAAATGAAAAGAAACAAATAAAAAAATCTATAAGAACTTTGAAGGCCCTCCACCATTTGGAACGAATTTGGCAATTTTCAAAAAAAAAAAATCCGTAAAAAATTCCATTAAAAACTTAAAATTACCGAATTTAGCCGTTATATTGGGGTCTATACGACCTTTTGTCATAAGCCATCAAAATATTCAAATGCGAAACATGAAAAAAATCGGTATAGCTATAATGCAGCTATAGCTATACCAAAACGTGGACCTACACAGACAATTTTCAGTCAACTTAAAATACAAAATTTGAAACAATTCCGGTGATTAATGTCGCTAAAATCATGAAAAACCCTAATATGGGGAGGTACCGTTATATGGGGGCTATATAGAAACGTGGACCTGCACAGACAATTTCCTGTCATAGGCTGTAGTATCCATTACGAACTTCAAATACCAAATTTGAAACAATTCCGGTGAATAATGTCGCTAAAATCATAAAAATACTGAATATCGGGAGGTACTGTTTTATGGAGGCTATACGAAGATGTGGACCTACATGACCCATATAATACCAAAAGTCCTGCACACATAATATACATTTGAGAAAAATTTTATCAATCTACTTCATTTCGTTCGGAAGCTAGAGTGATTTCTACAGACGGACAGACATCGCTAAATCGACATAGAATTTTATGCTGATCAAGAATATATATACTTTGTGGGGTCTAAAATTCATATTTCGAGGTGTTACAAACAGAATGACAAACTTAATATACTCTCCATACTATGGTGGAGGGTAAAAAAATAATTCTTACAAAATATCTTTCAAGGACCTCAAATCCGAGTGTACTGCTACATGACAATTGGTGGACCATAGTGCACATTTTGTACCTACTGTGATCCCTTAATATCATCATCATTATTCTGATTCTGTTGGAAACCGTGGTAGAATCTTCTAAAATACAAAACATCCAGAGATTACCTAAACTTAAATGTGGACCGTTATCCCTAGCCAAAAAACTAAGGATTACCACATAGGATGCCTTGTTTCAAAACAAGTCAAAGGGACGTGGTTCAATCGACTTAGAATTTCATGTTGATAACGAATATGTGTATAATTCAAGGAGTCTCCGTCTTATGAGCAATCAACTTACCAAAATCCTTAAGGCTGACACTGGTTTCACTTTTCTCCGCCGATTTATCCCCCGTTTTCTCCATCAAATTCTCTAGCTCCAGCTTAATTTGGGGATTTGTCCCGGATTTTTTATAGGAAATATTTCTAAAGAAACATAAGGACTTTTCAGCTGCCTGAAAGATTATTGAATGTTAACAACTTTTATGTTATTAAGTATACAGGTTGAGATGAAAAACTGCAACAAAGTCAAACGTTACATTTTTTTTAGTGTTATTGAATGAAAACAAAAAATGTCGCAAATAGCATCAAATTTTAGAATAAGTTTAGATTTGTTCGAATTGGTCACCTTTGGCACTAATTATGGCCGTTAAACGGCCAATGAAACCGTCACACGCTGTCCGAATGTTGATCTGCGGTATTTTGGCCCATTCCCGGCGAAGCGCTTGCTTGAGGTGATCAACACTTTGGTATTTTTTAGTGCCAACTTTCCTTTCCAAAATACTCCAAACACAATAGTCAAACGGATTGGTATCCCGAGATTTTGGTGGTCATTGTGCGCTGGAATGAAGCCGTACTGAGTGCGATACACCCTCCAGAATAATTTCGCGATAATATTCGGCATTTATTCTGATGGCACGGTCGATTAATACGAGCGGAGAGCGACCATCGGCTGTTATGGCGGCTCACACCATCACCATGGCCGGCGCTTGAATTCTGGTGGCCAACCGAAGGTGCACATTTTTAGCTGACCTCTTTGCAAGTAAACACGATTATTTTGTTTTTTTTTACAAACTGCTGGACAACGGAGAAAACCAAATTCGACTGTTCGCCACTTTCGGCCAAGCGAAGCAACTCTTTAGCTCTTTGAGTCCATTTTCTTTCTGTTGCGGTGTAAGTTCTTGCACTTGTTGGAATTTCAATGGCTTTACCCCGAGCTCATTTTTCAATATTTGTCGAATGGAATATTGCGATATGTTCAGCTCACGAGCCATTTTCAGCCATTGCGACGCGGGTTTCGATCAAGTCGCTTCTTTACTTTTCGAACCATTTCTGCTGATGTTGCTGTTTTCTTCCGTCCACTTCCTTGACGTCGGCCTACGCTACCAGTATCACGGTAACGAGCGATGGTACGAGACACAAAAGATTTATTCACATTTAAATGCTGGAGTGCTCTAACGATAGCCACTTTTGGTTTTCCAGCCAAATATAAAGAAATCACACTATCACGCTTGAATTCATCACGAATAACTTTTTTTCTGGAAAATTCTCACCAAAATGCTTTTGTACGCTGGTAAACAATATAATGAGCTGTCACTGAAATAATTTTAACAGCTGTCGGACGAGTGGCTTAGAAATTACAGCAGTCTGAAGTTTGTTGCAATTTTTTCATCTCACCCTGTATATGTTGTACTAACCTTTACATCGTTTTTGCTTGCCAAATATTGAGGACTTTCTGGAACAAATATGACTCCACATAGATATGCTAGAGGCAGTGTAGAGAGAATCCACGCAACAATCCTGCATGGCAAATAAGTGCCCAAAATAAATGCCGCCAACACTCCAACGTTACAGAAAAGTACCAAAAAAGTACCCACAGTGCCACGAACGCTATGGATACAATATGTCGTTATATTTTTTTTTTTTTTTTTTGAAGCACTTTGTTCAATGTTGTGAAATAAGGACATGTGTACTGTGCTGGTTTCTGATCACTACGTACAATTTCAATAATTTTTTTATGATAAGACTCAATAATTAAATTTCACAAATGCAAAAAAATGTTACCAAAGCAAAGATGATAAATAAAATAATATTCAGTAAAAAATCGTTTAAAATGTTACTCACTTGTCGTCTGATATTTCAGCAGTATATATAGGGATTATAGAGAATGTACCCCCTCCAGAAAAGCCACCCATTAACCTAGACAACGCCAAGTGCATAGGCGTCTTGGCAAATGGAACAATCAGCCATCCCAACTAAAAAAAAAGAAATTTTAAATGTCCATTTCCCTCCTCTTTTCTTTTTATTAATACTCACCAAAGCAGGTAATGCTAGAAGCAGCAGGCAACGTTTTCTACCAATTTTATCGGCACACCAGGAGAAGAATATTGTACCAAGAGAACCTCCCACACAAAGCATGGATCCAATCCAGCCGGCATCGTCGCCAATAAGAGGCTCAGAACCAGTTGCATCGGCTTTTTGTAGCTCTACAAAACTAGCCGAAGCCCAACCAACAAATGCTCCATACGATATGGAAATGATATTCGCTAAAGTAGGGAAAAGTCATAATTAAACAAAAAAAAAAAAAAAATAGGTCCATCAACGTCAGTTTTTTCCAAGTTTTTCTTTTTCTTTCAAGCAATGGAACTTTCTTTGTATCTTGCAGTTTTTTGGAGAAATGCTTTGCGCTTACCACAGAGGCCAGTTATATATTGATTCCTAGCATGCGACGACATGGCAATGCACTACAATCGGCTTAGAATTAAAATAATTGCTAACAACGAGATGTTATCTTCAACATCTGCGACATTGACTGATGACAATGAGTTATTAGCATCTCCTAAATGATTCTGTGCTACTGCTCCCGCTAAACGTTTAATTTTATCTTTATTTCACCACTTGAAATGTGTACGGACACACAAAGATAACCAATCATCTTAATCATTGCTGCGCAAGAAGCAGTGGGAGGGTGGGATTATGTATGTATGTACATAGGTGTTTAAGTAATTTTAAACTTTGTTTAATGAGTAGAGTGGTCCATTTTGTGGGATTTTCATGATTTCCATGGTGACGATATTATCTTAAAGTTATCTTAAATAAATAACAAGATTCCTTATCTATATATCTCCGTATATCTTTAGCAAAAGTTTGTCGTGTTATGATGGTGAATGATTTGACAAAACAGCGGAAGCTAGGCATGTTGCAAGAGGACCGTGGTGTAAGATTTTGAAAATGCCTGTATGTTTTTACCTAGAAAACAATAAGAACTAATTGGAACTAAGCATAGTAATAACATGTCGAAAAAGCAAAGTAGCTGAAGCGGAGTATACTATTGTCATTGTTGTCAGCTCAATTGGATAATTGCAAATAGCCTTGATAATCGAATAATGCAATATGTCAAGTTGTGGAATCGATCCACAGCAGAGCCTTTTCGCCCGAAATTCACACAAACCGTCTTCATTATGAAATTCATAATTATTAGAAATTTTCTTCGACGGTTTTTTTAATGTTTCAAGCTACTTCCGAATGGTGGAGGACATAAAAAGTTCGGCCCGGCCGAAGTTTGTTCCTTTTTCTATTGTTTTCTAATTTTCTTGATTGTAGTTCCTCAAATCCAAAAAATATTTTGGTACTGGGGGAGACATTGTGAAATTGATTTAACAAAGTGGATGAAGTAAAAGCGATGACAGACACGAATAGTTGACACGGTGTTGAAAACTTTCGCATAATTAATCTATTTCAATAAGAAACTGCTTCAAACGAATTTTGTTTGAAAACCAAATTTAAAATATAAACAACACTACAACACTTAAATATAACAACACAACAGAAGCCCCCTTATGTCCAAATTCATTTTAGAAGATTTCGTTTTTGAAATTATGTCATGGAGTACTGCCCAGATATTACCCTTAGCTTTTTGACGAGGGACATTTGCCCAATATTTACGCACACCGCCGTGTTGTTAGTTGTTGTAGTCCATTTTACAAATAATATAATCCAATGGTCATATAGACTTCTTCCCTGTCCCTAACTCTCTCCTCATGCAAAATTCTGTCGACTGTGTTGTAAGGTAAAAACAAACAATATTACAAAATATACACTTCAATATTATAAGTCAAATTAAAAAATCGCATGCGATAAAGAATATGAAAAAAGAAAAAAAATTCAAAAAATAATACAAAATTTATATTAACATCATTATTGGTTTCTTTTTACACGAATTTTTTAGATTTTATACATTTATGCCAAGAGGGCATTCTGAATTGGCAATATTTGTCAAAATCGGTCCAGCCATTCTTGAGATATAAGCATTCTAGCTAACATCCCCTTCCTTTGTATATATACATAGTATATATTTCGCTATACATATCCGATATATTTACTATCGGCATCTACGTAACAGTCAGAATTGACCTGTTCGTCGATTTGTGGTCCATTTCAACCCCTAAATATTATGCGATCACATTCTAAATTTCGTGAAGATAGTGCCATAATTACGACCTGTAGAGTGATTACAAATTAACATGGACAGACGGATGGAAGGGCATACATAGGTAGATCGACTCAGCTCGGCGAGATAGGAAAATTCATATATACTTTCCTATGTGGGAAACCGATATTTCGAGGTGTTACATAATTTTTGGCCCAATCAAACTAATAATAACCCCAACACAAAGTATTGTAGGGTATAAATATTAAGTCCGGTCGGGCTGAACTTTTAATACCCTCCATCTTAGGGTAAAGGAAACATTTTTAAAAGTATCTGGATTCAAGCGTGTTTGCATAATGCAGTTAAACTTATCAAAAAAACTATGAAGTGAGTGAGGCCGTTATATAAGGCCATTCCAAAACGGGAACCTCCATAGACAATTTTATACTTCAAGGATTGTCATCTATCGAATCTTCTAAAATACCAAAATTGAAACAATTATGTGGGTAAATATATATATATATATATATATATATATATATATATATATATATATATATATATATATATATATATATATATATATATATATATATAATATTTATATATAATATTTATTTCCACGTTTTCCTATAGCGCCCATATATAACGATACACACCGATATTCGCTAGTTTGAAAATCCGAGTCACATTTTAGACAAATCCGTGAAAAAATGTGGCAAAAATCATCAAAAATACCGAATATCGGGAGGTACCGCTGTATACCGAAATGTGAACCTATACATTCAATGTTTCGCCATACGAGCTAGAACCCATTATACAAATACCAATTTTTTTACAAATCCGTAAAAAAAAATGTGGCAAAAATCATCAAAATACCGAATATCGGGAGGTACCGTTATATGGGGGCTATACCAAAACGTGGACCGATACATCTTATTTTCAATACCAACCATCCTAGACACAATACAAACTGTTCCTCTAAATTTTGACGTGGGCTGTATCGCGATTTCAACAGACAGACAGGCGGACAGACAGACGGACGTCGTTAAATCGACTTAGAATTTTATGCTGATTGTGAATGTATATACTTTATGGGGTCTACGATAAATATTTAGGGGTGTAACAAACTCAATGACAAAGTTAATATACCCTCCTTTCCATGGTGGAGGGTATAAAAAGTAAAGAAAAGACAAAGTCGGCACTGTTTGTCCGTAATATTGCAGCGCTATATAACTATACATAAGCCCTGATCACCACAGCTGCAAACCATGTTAAGGGCATAACCTGAGTTTCAAAATGTTCAATATTACTATGATTTCTGCTTAGAATACGGGTATCATTAAGTCTGTTTTACGTGCGACCGCATAATGGAAGGGGGAATCGAGAGAGTTTAAAAGTTGTTCGGGCGTATTAATTCTCTAAAATATTTTTCTATCCACCACCATAAATAGCGCAGTTCGGCGCACTTCATGGCCTTCATGACAGAATGATGTACCGCTTTCTTACGGCGTGTTATTTCAAACTACGCTATCATTCTGTGATAAAATATTAGCTTGCTTGCAATGCTGCCTGTATATTGCACAAGTAGCACCAGATTTATAATATTTACCTGTTTTATTTATTTTAGTAGCAGACTATACAAATTTATGATATGAGCTGTTCTAATATTGAGCCATACCAAATCTGTTATGAGTTATAAACATGCATACGTACAAATATTTACCGACAAATTGTGTATTATGCATAAAAGTATTCATACCCTACACCGCACTGGTGAATAACGTCTTTGTGCAATCACGTGTATCGTGACCAAGTATTCGTATAGCTTCATATAACCGTATCATCTAATACTTGCAATTTTTTAAATACTGGCGTCATTTTTCATGTTTTTTTTTTAGATTTTGAAAATTTTTTGCAACTGGTGAAGGGTACTAAAAGTTCGTTCGGCCGAAGTTAGAAGCTCTTTCATTTGTTTTTTTTTTTTTTTGTTGGTTTTAATAAGCATTTTTAATAAAGTGATACAGACATGCATAAATCTCCTTTTTTATAGCCCCAGCCATATGGTTACCGAGGCTGGGACGAATGCATTATGAAAAAAAAGAAACGACCTTGCGGAAACATTTGTGATTTTGAAGTGTACCAAATTACTAGTGCTGTACCCAGTGAGTATGTAAATTCCGCGCCGGATTTAAATTGAATTCGGTCGTGAGAAGATCTATTTTTTACCCTTTTTTATGTTTGTCATTCCATTTGCAGATATTACACTTTTAGGCACAATAAACGTGAAATCGAATGAAGATATATATGGGAGCTATATCCAAATTTTAACCGATCTGTGTTGTGAGGCTGTGAGGAACTTAAACAAAAATAGCTATATCTTAACAGATTTTCAATAAATTTGATATACTTTCTTCCAAGCTGAAAATGTGCCAAAATCCATTCAATTGGGTCCATCTCGCTTCCTTCACTATGTTGCAAACAAGTTCACAAAGATGTAATACCACTGTGTGGTGCAGGGTATAATAAACGTAGAAAATCCTGAGGTATTTTTTAACCGCTCTATAACAGGAAATAACAAAGACCCATTATCAAGGGATTCGAATTCTGCAAACGTTATCTGTAACATACAACAATGGCGATCGTTGTTGATTCTGTTTGCGATTTTTCGCTCTTTTCATTTGCTTATTTAAAAATGTTTAATTATTTTTTAGAAAACCATTTGCACATTTAGTTGAATACGGACTTGTATTTAAAACATGCCTTAGATATATCGAAGTTAACTTTTTATACCCTACAACACTATGTGTTGGGGGTATTATAAGTTTGATTGGGCCAAAAATTATGTAACACCTCGAAATATTCGTTTCCCACATAGGAAAGTATATATGGATCTTCCTATCTCGCCAAGCTGAGTCGATCTAGCTATGTATGTCCGTCCGTCTGTCCATGTTAATTTGTAATCACCCTACAGGTCGCAATAATGGCCCGATCTTCACGAAATTCAGAATGGAGGTGGGGTTAAGGTCAGAATAGAACACTATTTCTTTTGGAGATGATCGCATAATATTTAGGGGTTAAAATGGACCAAAAACTGAAAAAATTCCTGATTTTGCAGTTGCTCTACAGGTCGCAATTATGGACCAATCAACGCGGAAATTAGCATGGGGCTAGAGCTTAGGGCTGGGCAGAATCCTTAAAATTTTATTGGTCATCGGATAATATTTAGTGGGTGAAATAGACCATAACATTTGTGTTAAATTTTCCATTAATAACCGCGAATATTTTTAATCCCGGCGAAATCACAAATAGACGAACAGGTCAATTCTGACCGTTACGTAGATGCCGATAGTAAATATATCGGTTATATATAGCGAAATATATACAATGTGTATATACAAAAGATGTTAGTTGGATGTTAGTTAAAATGCTTATATCTCAAGAATGGCTGGACCGATTTTGACAAATTTTGTCAATTCAGAATGCCCTCTTGACATAAAATTATAAACTCTAAAAAAATCGCAGAAAAATATAGCAATAATGATGTTAATATAGATTTTATAGTATTTTGTGAATTTTTTTTATTTTTTTTCATATTTTTTTCGCATGCGATATTTTCAATTTGACTTATAATATATTGTAATATTTTTTCACCTTACAACACAGGTTGGGGATATTATATATATAAGGATTGCAAATATCGTCCGATCCTCACGAACATTTTCACAAGGGTAGGGTTGGGCTCAGAAGGGCTAGGCCTATTGTTTTCAAAGATGTCCGCAATATATTAGGGGTTGAAATGGACCAACAACTAAAAATTTTCCTGATTTTGCAGCCGTTATAAAGGTCACAAATAGAAACCAAAGGACACGAAATCTCGCATAAAGTTAGAGTTTAGGACAGCGGGTACAATAGACTATTAATTTTGTGTGAAAAAATACCAGCATTACTTACAGGCGATATCCGAAATACACAAAAGGCGAACTTCTGGCTTTTTTATGCTGATTTCGTTGACGAATATAGCCAAATATCGTAGACAAGCAAATCATATAGTCTAAATTTGGAGATACAGAGGGGCTTCTTGCTTTTGAAGATGATTGCAAAATATTTAGGTTCAAATAAACCAAAAAACAGAAGTGTTTTTCCGATCACACAATTGAAGCCAATCGACACGCCTGTGAAGAGAGTTAAGGACAGGGAAGAATTCTAGCATTTTGAATGACCATTGGATTATATTTAGCTGTAAAATGGACTACAACAACTAACAGCCCGACGGAGTGCATAAATGTTGGGAAAATGTTCCTAGTCAAAATCCTAATTTCAAAAGCGAAATCTTCCAAAATAGATTTGGACATAAGAGGGCTTCTAACATATTGTAGTGTTGTAGGGTATAACATAGTCGGCCACGCACGACTATAGCCTTTGCTTACTTGTTTTTATTATTTTTTAAAATAAATTAGCTTATTCTATTTCTACATTTTTAAAGGTTTACCGTGTAATGACATTGTGGATGAAAAGATTCTGTACATAGATGAAATGACTTTTTTTAAATATGCACATTTGCATAACGTCCATTGGGTATTGAGTTGCCGTTACATTCAAGTTCCTTTGCAGACTGAATTTTGTCGTAGAAAAACAGTGCCCCAATTGTAACAGCAAAGCTACCGAGGGTGAAAATAAGTAGCAGACCGGTGATGGAAACACTGTGCACAATGGGAACATAGTACTGTAATGAAAAGAACAATATGATTAGATTATGCTGTGAGCTTCAATTAACAATCATTCACTTATTTATAAACTTACGTGAATAATGGCGAATACAGCTATCCACGAGAGAAAGTGCAGCATTCCGAGAAGTTTGTATTGTGACTGAAAAACAACAACAAATACATCACATAATTCAAAATGCTAAGACATTTAGTGAATTTTAGTTCTTTTGATATTCATATTGATAGAATTTCGCAAAACGCCTTTAGTTTGCCTATCCTGCACAACATTACAGATTCTCACCTCTATTCCTTCTCCAAATATCAATATGTTTAAGTGTCACATTAGGTTTACACATACTAAATCGAGTAGAATTAACCATTACACGTACCCGTTAAATGAAATCGACTCTCATATTCAATGGATTTCATTTAAAGTGTACGCAATGGAATTGACAGATGTTAACTGTCATGATTCGTTATAAGTGTTTGTGTGTTTTAGCCAAACATCACTATATCTTCATCTACATATTTACATTCAGAATAAACATAAAGCATGAATTTGAATTCCATTTCATTTTCCATTACCTTAAAACTTCGGATAGTGGGTTTAGAATATTAATCCCGCATCTTGAGAAATTCTCCAAACAATAAATTGCAACAGTGTTGACAATAATTTGTTGAGAAACTCAACTAAGTGTATTCTGCCTTTGTGCATTTGTTTGTAACATGGAGAAGGAAGCGAGATAGACCCATAGTTACATATCAGTATCTTCACAGAATCACTTTCTGAACCGATTTATGCATGTCAATCCGTCTGTCCGTCCATGTATTCTTTTGAATAAAATGCAGGTCGCATTTATTATCCGATGGCGATGGCATTTGCCAAACAATATTTTTGGGCCAAAAACTGACCCCTATTGAATTTGGTGAGAATCGGTTCGGAATGTTGGCAATTCAGACTTAAATCATCCTAAAATTAAGTGCTCCAAATTTTTGTTAAAATCGGTTCAGATATACCCCTTTATATCCCGATGTTATATCTTCTGAACACCGCACTTTCCTTTAGCATGGGAAGAGTTTGGAGTGTTCACCAACCGCCGCTTCAGAGAACTAACCAACCCTCCTGATATCCGGGTAGCAGAAAAGATTTTTCGAGTTATTGTCGTAGCTGCAGTCGTTTCCTACATACCTGCTAAGCGAATATCCGAAATAAGACCAACCTACCCAACGGGGCAAGTGAATGAGCGTCGCTATAAACCTAACGGGTGGTTCCACTACTAGAGCCAGACAAGGATGACATCTAAGCCAAGTCATAAATGCTAATTTCGCTTTTGTCGCCAGCAGCGAAGTCTTTTGAGGCTTCAGTCCTCCCCATCGTTAGAAGAACTTATCCAATTACCTGTCATCAACATGGGTTCCGTCACAGCATAGTATTCCAACTATATTGCACTCAACAAGAACGGTCCGCGTCAAATAACAGTGTTTGTGAATCCAGTTTTACAACCAGTCAAGTTTGAAATGTTGGAATCCCGGAACAAGACAACCAACCCCGTAAAGTAAAACAGGGAGTTCCCCAAGGTTGGATGATATACAGAACTCCATGCCCAACTCACAACATCTAAATAGTAACTTATGAGGCAGAGCTGACAGGTCGGGTTCGAACATTGATTGCATTTGTGTTCAGTTTCCTATCTCACTGAACCTTTCGCCTGCTTCCAAGAGAGGGATATAAAAATATCCACCTCTAAGTAAAATGCGCAGGCCTAAAGACATTTAATTCCAACCACAAACTACCCCAAGATCCTAGAAGTCAAATTCGACAGCATGTTAAAGTCGCCCTCGTAAGCCTGTTCAAATATAGTTATAGCTTCCATATATATGTTTCATCAGATTTGGTGTTAAAGTCCTCGCATGACTAATATGCACTCCACAACAGTGATATTTGATCCCAGGCTCGAAAATACTTCTGCCAAATTTTATTAAGATAGATATACATCTTCAAAGGATAGATTTTAAAGTAATTAATTGTAACATTGTCCCTGGTTTTCGCCAAATTTCACTAGAACTAAAGAAATGTCCGTATGAATGGACCTTAGTAAGTAGACTGATGGAGTTAGGATATACATGTACGTCTATTGACGATTTTTCATACGCATATTTCTATTGACATAAGAACACTTTTAACTACTCTTGTTATTGTTTACTTAATAAACAGCTTTTGTTATTTGCAGTAACGATAATTCTATTCTGCAAAAATGTTGATAAATTGTCGATAAACTTTCAAAAGTTTTCAAGTTTTACATTTTTCAAAATAAAAATCGTACATAACACAAGGCAGAAAAAAATGGTAGAAAAATACAGGTAACAGCATGGTACAATAAAAAGGTAAGGTAGAGCTACCAGCTGATTACAATTTTTTTCTAAGTATGCCCGACTTCTGCCAATTTTGTGAATGTATTTATTGTTTTGAAAAATAAAAAAAAAAATATTTTCAAAATCAATGATTGGAAGAAAGGCACATTGCAGCGCGCAAATTAAGGGTAATAACCATTTTTCCCATGGAATTGTGAGATTTATCAAGTGGGATCACATTTTTGATAGCAAATCCAGGCATTTCATTCATCTTTCACTCTTTTTAATCAATATTCAAAATAAGGAAAAATATTATATAAATTAACAAGTAAACAAGTAAAAAAAAAAACATAAAGTTTGGCCGGGCCAAACTTTTAATACCCTCCACCTTAGGACAAAAGAAACATTAGAATAGAATTTTCAAAATCAATGATTGGAAGAAAGGCACATTGCAGCGCGCAAATTAAGGGTAATAACCATTTTTCCCATGGAATTGTGAGATTTATCAAGTGGGATCACATTTTTGATAGCAAATCCAGGCATTTCATTCATCTTTCACTCTTTTTAATCAATATTCAAAATAAGGACAAATATTATATAAATTAACAAGTAAACAAGTAAAAAAAAAAAACATAAAGTTTGGCCGGGCCAAACTTTTAATACCCTCCACCTTAGGACAAAAGAAACATTAGAATAAATGTGGCAAAAACCATTAAAATGCCGAATATCGGGAGGTACCGTTATATGGGGGCTACACCAAAACGTGGACCTATAATTACAATGTTTCGCCACACGAACTAGGACCCATTATGACCCACAAATACCAATTTTTAGACAAATCAGTGAAAAAATGAGGCAAAAACCATCAAATTACCGAATATCGGCAGGTACCGTTATATGGGGGCTACACCAAAATGTGGACCTATAATTACAATGTTTCGCCACGCGAACTAGGACCCATTATGACCAACAAATACCAATTTTCAGACAAATCCGTGAAAAAATGTGGCAAAAATCATCAAATTACCGAATATCGGGAGGTACCGTTATATGGGTGCTATACCAAAACGTGGACCTATAATTACAATGTTTCGCCACACGAACTAGGACCCATTATGACCCACAAATACCAATTTTTAGACAAATCAGTGAAAACAAGTAAAAAAGCTGTAAGTTCGGCCGGGCCGAACTTTTAATACCCTCCACCATTTGGTACAAATTTGGCAATTTCCAAAAAAAAAACCGTTAAAAATTCTGTTAAAATCTTAAAAATACCGAATGCTTATACGACGACGTGGGCCTGCATAGGCAACTTTTGTCATAAATTATTACAATATTTAAATGCGAATCTTGAAGAAAAATCTGTTTATAATGTAGCTAAAATCGTCAAAATACCGAATATGGGGGGTACCGTTATATGGGGGCTATACGAAGACGTGGACCTGCACAGACAATTTTCTGGCATGGGCTGAAGTATCCATTACGAACTTCACATGCGAAATTTGAAAGAATCCCTGTAAATAATGTCGCTAAAATCATTAAAATACCGAATATCGGGGGGTACCGTTATATGGGGGCTATCCGAAGATGTGGACCTGTGTAGATATTTTTCTGTCATAGGTGGTAGTACCCATTGCGAACATTAAATACGAAATTTGAAACAATTCCGGTGAAAAATGTCGCTAAAATCATCAAAATACCGAATATCGGGAGGTACCGTTATATGGGGGCTATCCGAAGATGTGGACCTACATAGGCAATTTTCTGTCATAGGTTGTAGTACTCATTGCGAAAATTAAATACGAAATTTGAAACAATTCCGGTGAAAAATGTCGCTAAAATCATCGAAATACCGAATATCGGGAGGTACCGTTATATGGGGGCTATACGAAGACGTCGACCTATATGGCCCATTTTCAATACCAAAAGTCCTGCACACATTATATACATCTGAGCAAAATTTCATCAACCTATGTCATTTCGTTCGGAAGCTAGAGTGATTTCCACAGACGGACAGACGGACGGACATCGATAAATCGACATAGAATTTTAGGCTGATCAAGAATATATGTACTTTGTGGGGTCTAAAATGTATATTTCGAGGTGTTACAAACGGAATGACAAACTTAATATACCCTCCATACTATGTATGGTGGAGGGTATAAAAATGTGGCAAAAACCATCAAAATACCGAATATCGGCAGGTACCGTTATATGGGGCTATACCAAATCATGGAACCATACATGCAATGTTTCGCCACCGGAGCTGGAACCCATTATGACCAACAAGTACCAAATTTCAGACAAATCCGTAAAAAAATATGTTAAAAATCATCAAATTACCGAATATCAGGAGGTACCGTTATGTGGGGGCTATACCACAACGTGGACCTATACATGCAATGTTTTGCCACACGCTCAGGGATCCGTTATGACCTACAAATACCAATTTTCAGACAATTCCGTGAAAAAATGTGGCACAAATGATCAAAATAGGGAGGTACCGTTATATAAGGACTATACCAGAACGTGGACCGATATATTTCATTTTCAATACCAACCATCCTAGACACAATGCAAATTGCTCTACTAAATTTTGGCGCTCTACGTCAAATAATGTGTGCTGTATCGTGATTTCAACAGACAGACAGACGGACAGAGAGACAGACGGACATCGTTAAATCGACTAAGAATTTTATGCTGATTATGAATGTAAATATTTTATGGGGTCTAAGACGAATATTTAAGGATGTTACAAACGGAATGACAAAATTAATATACCCTCCTTTCCAAGGTGGAGGATATAAGAAGCAGTAAGTGCGGCCGGGCCGAACTTTGAATATCCTCCACCATTTGGAACGAATTAGAAAATGTTCAAAAAATAAAATCCATTAAAAATTCTGTTAAAATATCTAACATCGGAAGGTGCCGATATATGGGAGGATACACCATATTATGGTCCTATATAGACAATTACCTTTAAAGTGCTCACAAAGAACTCCTTGTGTGGATTTTCAGACAATACCATAGGAAGATATGGCTAAAATCATCAAAATACCGAATATCGGGGGTACCGTTATATGGGAGCTATACGATATCGTGGACCTATATAGATAATTCTCTTCCAAGAGACAAAGTACTTACAAGGAACTCCTTGTGTGGATTATCAGAAAATTCCGTTGAAAAATGTGGCTTAAATTATCAAAATACCGAATATCGGGGGTACCGTTATATGGGGGCTATACGATATCGTGGACCTATATAGATAATTCTCTTCCGAGGTATAAAGTACCCACTAGGGACTCCTTGTGTGGAATTTCAGACAATTCCTTTGAAAAATGTGACTAACATAATCAAAATACCAAATATCGGGGGGTACAGTTATATGGGGGCTATACGATATCGTGGACCGATATAGCCCATCTTCGAACTAGACCTGCCTGCAGACAAAGAGGGATCTGTGCAAAATTTTAGCTTCCTATCTTAATTCGTTTAGACTTCGTTTAGCGTGATTACAACAGACGGACAGAAGGGCGGACAGGCTAAATCGTCTTAGAATTTTACGCTGATCAGGAATATATATACAAAGTTACAAACGGAATGACGAACTTAATATACCCTCCATACTATGTATGGTGGAGGGTATAAAAATTTTTTTTGATTCTAATTTTGAATAATTCTGACAGAAAGCGGGCATAGCTCCAGGGGTGTATTTCTGTACTTTTACGAAGCTGTTCTACCTCCTTATTGTACCATGGGTAAAAGCAAGTGTTGTTGTACTACAATCGTAACAACAACCACATACAAATTTGTTTTTGTACGTAATACAAGTGTCAGAGTTATGTGTCCAAAAATGTAAACAAAATAATTATTTTTCAATAAATTATTTTAATTTCAAAAATATACATTTTTGGAATTTGGATTATTAAATTGAAAATGCAGAAGAATATTTCTTAATATATTTAATTTTAATGCTTTCACATCATTCCCATGAATGTATAGTTGTTAGGTTTTGGTCTTAATATCTCAACACTTCAAGCAATCGCTAGAAAATCGTGGAAAAGGCAACATCGCATTCAAGTTGAAACAAAACAGCATACATACATAAAGTATTCTACATTTTGCAATTTTAAATATACGAATATATTATCCAACATGGTTTTTGCGGTTAAGGTTGCTGTTCCGAATCATCGCCTTTGGCGTTTTGTTAAGTACATCCGCGATTATTTCTATTATTAGGCAAAAAAAAAATGTTCACATTTCCCTGCAGTGAAATTTTATATAAAAAGGGTATAATTTTTATAACATTGTTTGATCTATACAAACATATTACCCGAGAACCTAATATTTGGTATTTGTAACGCTTCTGTTTAAAATCTGATATTTGCAGTTCGTAAAGGTCAACATTTTGCTAAAGCCCAAAATTTATCGGTACCAGCCACTTTATGCTATTTTGAAGACTGTGCCATGGTGTCAGCTTTATTGACTTTGAAATGTTCCTTGTGCTTGTTCCCAAAAATAAAACCCTTCATCCCATTTTTTTTGACAAGGTTATGTCGCACAAATTAAGTAGTTAGTTTTTGACCACTAAAAAGACGATAGTTTAATCTTAGTAACCAATGTCGATAAAAACGCGCTTATTTAATCGACTTTGTGAGGCGAAAAATAACAACTGGAGGCCCAACCCTTTAATTCTCTTAAAATCACAAATCAACTCACCTTCTTGGGAATATTCTCCATGAATACTGTAGTCGATACGGTAATAAAACCAGCACTGGCAAACAATATTTGTAGTGCAAATAGGATTGGCATTATCCAGGCTGCTATATCATCATCCATATCCCAAGTATGTTCATATAAAGAATATACCGCTCCCAACAGAAAACACATAGCAGAGCCTAGGGATGTTATAACTAACAGCATCTGCAGAAATTAAGGTGTAATATTATAACAAAGACATTTCCCGTCGTAATTCTCACCCTACGATTTACGCATCCACTAAAGGCCTTAGCCACAAGAGTTGCCAACAGATGTACGACTGCAAAAATCAGTACCAATATATCGCCTGTCAATTTGAGGGGTGTTGCAGAGTTGGATATTATTGAACCGTACGACAAAATTGTAAAAATACCGCCAAGTTGGGAGGCCACTGCCAGAACCAGGTCACCAAACAAGATTTTTACCAATTGAGATGCAGATGGACCCGATTCGATCAGTTGTGTTTTTTCATGTAGACTGTTCTTGATTTGGGCCAGTTCGTGATCGAACTCCGGATTGTTTCGGTCATCAATGCTGCGAATTCCACGGAACCAACGTAACGACTTTTCCAATCCAGCCATGTTGCCTTTGCGTAGGAAATAATATGGACTCTCCTGAACAAAGGGGAATACCATCGAAAAGAAAAATGATATCAGAATGCCCACAACCGCGACGTAGTCGTAATTGAGATACGATCCGAAAATAAAACCAATAAAAATTCCGCATGCACGCCATATGTCAACGGATACGTTCAGAGAAGCCTTTGCAGCAGGCCCTTCCGCAATTTCCGATATGTAAAGGGGTAAGACCGTATAGGCAGCACCACCTGCTATTCCGGCAAAAACTCGCGACGAATAGATGTGTAACATATCAGAAGCAAAGTGGACGCAGAACCAGCTCGCCTTGGGGAAGAAGTTAGATAAAATAGAATACTTTAGAAATAGAATATTCTTGATCGATCTCACCATTTGCAATAGGCCACAGAGAAGCAGCACAGATTTTGGTCCGATTTTATACGAAATCGGGCCAAACACCAACGAGGCCATTGCTGCCGAAAGAAAGAGGATGCTCCCCATCCATGTTATTTCTTGCGGTTGTGCAACGTGCGCCAAGAGGGTTCTCTCCGGCGATTCATAAAGTCTGGCATATGACGATGTCACCCCAAAGGTCAGGCCAAAATTGAAGTTCAGTACATTACCTTAAATGGAAATAAAAGAACAAACTTATTGGGAAGTAATGCCGTTGCGTTATTCTTCAGCCAACCGGGTGTGTATGTTCAATTTACCCACTAAAACTGCGATCATTTGGACCGTCTGGCCCTTCACTTTGCTCGGAAGACACATAGCGCGGACTCGATAAAATTATTAATGAAAATTCTTGGACAAGTGCTAAGCTCTTTTATGCGGACCAAATTGGATTTGTCGCCGTTTCGTACATTGTTACTCGTTCTCACGTCAGGGCAGGGTGATGAAACGCAGCACCCAAAAAGATAAGATCTTGTTATCCAAGATACGGGTATTTATTACGAAATGCCTGGTTATTTTTTGAATAACTGTAATTATATTGTGTAGAAGAAGAACACTGATGATCAAAATATAGTGTAATTTAAAACTATGATGGCATGGGCTTATATATTGGTATTTTAAAGTCGAGACAAGGAATTAATCACAGAATCTGATTTTTTTAATTATTTACTACAAACTAAATGTGTGCTAATAATAAATTATTCTGTGATAGAGCTTCCCAATGTAAACTCAATTCAGAACATAATAAACAAAATGGTGAGATCAATTTTGCGACCCACTCTTTTCGAATATCTCCTCACGATACAAGCGAATCAAAGCATCTAAAGATAAATCTGTTGTTTGTCTTAGCAGAACGTGAGACGACATCAGTTCACAAGATAAGAATAAATCTTCTATAATATGCGTTAAAAGCGACTAATTTTTGTTTTGTTCTTCTCCCATATAAATGAAATACGACTACGACCAGCGGTTAAGGTCAGTGCTAGATATCTCTATTCACTGCTCATATGCAATGACTGTAGCTATGACAAAAAAGCATTTTTGGATATTGGATATGTTCTCCGCAGCCGTTATATGCACTCTGTAACAACGGTATTTGGATATAGCTCCCATATATATCTTTATGGGAGCTCCCATATATATCTTTATCCGATATGGGATATAGCTCCCATATATATCTTTATCCGATCTTAAGTTAATTGTGCACCAAGTAGGTAATACAAGCCCGAAATGAAAAGGCACAAATGCCTTGGCGAATTTAGTAGAAATCGATTCAAAGAAGGATTGCCCTCTCATACATTAGTTCCTTTGAACTTTAAATTATAACTATAATCATAGTTGGTATGATTTAATTCTCACAAAATCCCCATAAAAACTTTTATTTGTTATATGAAGCTCTACTAAATGTGCAAAGTGGTGTAGGGTATCATAAAGTCGTCCCCGCCCGACTTTAAGACTTTCTTTACTAGTTTGGTATTTACGAATTTCTTTAATCCTTATTTAATTATTATAACAGCTTAATTTTGTTGTAAAAATTCACATAAGTGAGATAAAAAGAAGTAACTCATAATTTATAGCATCGAACAATTGAAAGAATCCTCTAAGGACTTAATAAATAAGTGACAAAGAGAGCTAAAGGTGATATTCGAGCAAACACAAAGTAGAAGACATCCTAAATATTTATAGATTTCTAAGCAAATTCAATTAATCAAAATAACAATTAAAGAGCAGGCTGAGTAATTCAAAATTTTAAGCAATTTTTCCAGATAACAGGGAATAAAAAAGGTCAAAAAATGTCGGAAAGTTCGGTAAATGAAAATAAAATAACTGATCTAAATGAAAAGTTTAAAGTTCTGAAACTTGTCTCGGTGTATCAAAATTCTCCTCCAAGTAGAAATAATTTTATATGAATGACACAATACATCAATCTATTTCTAGTGCACCAGATACAATGTATGTCTTTGATAACGGTACTACGGAGTTGAACTGTCAACATAACTGTAATTTTACGTCTTCTTCCATTCATTAATTTATTAATAACCAAAAATCATATCTAAATATTTAATCAAAATATTGAATCTAATTATAAAAATCATATTTAAATGTTTAATTTAATAATTGTTCAAATAATGGTTATTTACCAAAAGTTAGCAAATATAGTAACTATACAGAAAACCCGTGGAAATAACAATATCAATAATATCTTGGCAAACTTTTTGATTTTTGGTTATTAAAGAAAACATGGATACAGGATTGGAGTTTTCATATATTTCAGAATTTCAATGTCGGTTCAAGGAGAAAAATTCTACTGGACACACCCTTTTAAAATTCCATAATGACCTTATTCAAAACCATAGAGAACGTAAATGTACCGTTGCTGTTTCATTTGATAAGACGTGCCATAATGGTAATTTAATTTAAATTCGTATCCATCCATCGATAGTCGAAGTTTTCAAAAGTTTTCTTGATAATAGACAATTCGGCATTCAGATTGGAAATGTAGTATCATTGAGCCACAAGGCTCAATTTTGTCCCCTCACTTTTACAACATTTCTGTTTACGATTTTCCTTATGAAGTACCGTGTCAGTGTATGCTAACGACTCAGTCTTATATGCTCATGACGAATCGCCATTGATCGACACTTCAGCTTGCTTCGACGCACCTAAATCAAGTTTGTAATTTCTATTCTCAGCGGGGTATAATAATGAATGCTTTTAAGAATAATGTCATATGCATAGGAAATGTTTTAGGAAAATGCAAATATATTGTGGTACATGAAAGTAAAATTCTAGATCCGTTTTTGAATGAAAATAGAACTGAATTCAAATTAAAAACAAACTTTTCTTCTTCTATAAATTAAGACTTCGCCACGTTCTTTTGCATGCTATTGCAATTTGGGATATATATATATATATATATATATATATATATATATATATATATATATATATATATATATATATATATATATATATATTTATATATATATATATATATATATATATATATATATATAAATATATATATATATATATATATTTTTTTTTTTTTATTTTGCATGATTTTTTTCCATTTTGACTTACTTTTTTCTAATGTACATTAGTAGTGTTTTTTATATTTTATTTTTGAATTTGAATATTAATACCAATTTATTTATTTGTCTTGATTTCTTGAGAACTGAAATTGATGGCGGGTTACATGGTAGTGTAGTACTGAATTATGTAATGGCGATAATTTAAAAAATCACGAAAAAGAGATCTCATTGCAAAAATTCTCAAATCAAGAAAAAATCGAAAAAAATTTCAATGGAATCGAATTTTAAAATAATAGTACATTTTATTGACAAACTTTGTAAGGATCTTTAAACATTTGCTGTAAAAAATCAGCGAACAAGTGGAAGATTTTTTCAATTTGTTATTGTTTTTTTTTTTGTCATTTTTTTTCAATTTATATTATCATATTGAATTCAGTGAATTTTTTGTGAACAAAATATAGAATAATTTTTCACTATATACAATTTTTCACAAAAAAAAAATGAAATAAGTACGAAATAGGATTTGACATCTATCTTTCAACTACAGACATCTACCTTTCAACTACAGGGCGTACATCGTGGTTCAATTTTTAGATAAATCCGTGGATAAAGCGCGGCAAAAATCAAGAAAATACCAAATATCAGGAGGCACCTTTATATGGGCGCCATACGAAAGTTTTGACCTATATATACAATGTTCCGCCACTGCAGCTGGAACCCATAACGAACAACAAATACCAATTTTTAGACAAATCCGGTGGAGGGTATAACAATAGTTCGTATTTGCACAGCAAAGTACCTTTGACTTCCTAAAATATTTTCATAGAGACCAAATCAAAAATATAGCAGAACAATATAGCATGTCATAGCATTTCGCGTGATTTAAATAAGTAAAAATAGTTTTATCCACCTCATAATTGAGGGCAGAATGATAAGATGGGAATTCATTTTATTTGCCATTTAAATTGTAAGTTGGAGACCCCTTAAAGTCCATATTTTCATCATAGGATAATTCAATGATGATTCAACAAATATTCGGTCCCGTGCTACTTTCTTATATTTGTAATTTGTTCATGTTTCCACAATTTATTTCATATGGATGCACATCCCAAATCTACGTTCCCAACCAATATTCTCTTGGGGGTTAAAAATTCAATAGAATACAAAATTTTCTTTTCTGACCACACATTAGATGTGAAAGTGGACTTAGAGATACTCTAATGTGGAGACTTTACTTAAATAAATTCCTATGTGGCAATTATCTGTATGATGGTTCCCTACCCCAGGGTGGGATAAATAAAATTTTTTAGCCAAATCAATTGATGAATGTGATCAATACCAATATGGGCCCTACTCTACCCCCTTAGAAACAAAAATGTCAAATAAGGGCCAAAAAATGAAAAAAGTGGCCGGCCAAGCCCCCAAAAATAACTTAAATCATAGATGGTTATATAAATATGAAATCGGGTTGTTCCCTTATCCATGAGTTATGATCGATATAAAGACCTGCAAAAGTGATTTTAGGTATTTTGAATGTTTGGGAAGAATTTCTGGAAGGATATAAAACCTTTTCTTACTAAAAGTCCCATTCGCTCTACTATTTTGCACCATTTATTTCAATGTTGGTATTTTACTGATTATTCTCTCAAAAATTTTTGCATTTTGAGCTCCCATTGGACGGATCATTGTCACACTTTTAAATGAGCCCCATTAGGCTTTTTCGGTCATTTTTGTTTGTTTGTTTTTTTTTTTTTCAATTTGTATTATCATATTGAATTCAGTGAATTTTTTGTGAACAAAATATAGAATAATTTTTCACTATATACAATTTTTCACAAAAAAAAAAAATGAAATAAGTACGAAATAGGATTTTAACTGACATCTACCTTTTAACTCCAGGGCGTACATCGTGGTTCAGCTGGAAGATGCGAACACATTTAAACAAACAAAAATGACCGAAAAAGCCTAATGGGGCTCATTTAAAAGCGTGACAATGATCCGTCCAATGGGAGCTCAAAATGCAAAATTCTTTGAGAGAATAATCAGTAAAATACCAACATTGAAATAAAAGGTGCAAAATAGTAAAGCGAATGGGACTTTTAGTAAGAAAAGGTTTTATATCCTTCCAGAAATTCTTCCCAAACATTCAAAATACCTAAAATCACTTTTGCAGGTCTTTATATCGATCATAACTCACGGATAAGGGAACAACCCGATTTCATATTTATATAACCATCTATGATTTAAGTTATTTTTGGGGTCTTGGCCGGCCACTTTTTTCATATTTTGGCCCTTATTTGACATTTTTGTTTCTAAGGGGGTAGAGAACCTCTTCGCATAAAATTTGAAATTTTCAGAGTAGGGCCCATATTGGTATTGACCACATTCATCAATTGATTTGGCTAAAAAATTGTATTTATGCCACCCTGGGGTAGGGAACCATCATACAGATAATTGCCACATAGGAATTTATTTAAGTAAAGTCTCCACATTGGAGTATCCCT